GGTCTCTGGTTGTCAATTGTTTTATGTTCGGGTGGGTTGTTGTATTTTCTCTGAGTTCCTAGGTTGAAAATACCGAACAGGCTTTACATGTACTTATTAAGCTGATGCTTTTATCCAAAGCATATTTCCTGAGGCTACCTCAGCAGGTGAACTTGGAAAGACAGAGATTAAACCATCAAACGTTTAGTAAGAGCTGGAATACAGTACATATTGGGCCCCTGCTGAACAAAATTATTTGTATGTAATAAAAAAGCATTTAGCTTTTCAGTTTATTCTTATGTGTTGTTGTACTGTCAATCATTATTTTGTGGGCAATAATTTATTAGATTATGAGACAGCACAATAATTTTGCACAAAAATATAAAAATTATTACTTGTATTTCACACTCTTACTTGCTGAATAGATAACTAAAGTGTTTTCAAAGAACCTGTGGCATTTATATGGACATTAAAAAGGGGAAAAAAGGAAGATACAAAATGTCCACAAACACATCCAAACCAGTAAGTTAAAAGACCCGATTTTTGCAGGACACAAGAAACGCCAAGCTTCCCTTTTGTGCCTGAAAGGCTACAGTTTATGATCTATAAGTAATATGTGTGGATATGCTCGCCTTTATCTGCCTGAGTCATCTGTCCACCAGAACTCTGATAGGAGGAAGCATTTTTTATCAATATTGCATGGACATCACTTCATGGCAATAAATCTTTAACCTTGTAGGGGTAGAGGGTGTGTTTGCCTCACGGTATAAATGGCATATCAAAGCATGATCTGGCAGAATATAGTGTATTCACAGGTGACATTAATATCACAGAACTCCTTGGTAAAACTGGATCTAATGCATAAACACCTGTGTTTGTTTGCTAAGGTTTCCTCTGAAATTTCAACACGTCACTTCTTTTACTTTTGATAAGTTTCTCTCTGGAACGTCATATGACATGGGTCCCCACCCGAGTTAACACATTAAATAAATGTTTACATTTAGAATATACAAGGCCCTACTGGGTTTAGCTCCATCGCATCATTCCCTTTTTTCTTTTTCTTTTACAACAAATTAACAGCCACTATGCTTTATGCTCCTAATATTGTCAGATTTGAATTAAGGAAAAGAGTGTTCAGCTTTGCTGCCCTCTCGACATGGAACGCCCTTCAGGCTGATCTGAAATTGCCAGACCTAATTTATTTTGGAGCCTTTTGTTAAAGAGAGCTTTGAACAATGCCTGTATTTTCAACCACTGTCTGGTTTACCCATTGCCTGCATTTCATTCATTGTCTGCATTTTCAAGTATTATTTGTTGTCACTGTTTAAAGCCTTATTATGTCATGCCCACACAATTTAAACTCAAAAAACTTTGTTAGTAACATAATTGTGTTTTATTCTATATTACTTGTTTTAATCATTGTTTTTTAACAGACACTCTAGACCAGGTAAACCTTGTTTTTTTGTTTTTGATACTTGAATTTAAAACTATATAGCTGTACAGAAAGGTTTTATTTACAAATTAAAAGATGTCAACAGAAGACTTGACCCTCCAGCTGTACATGTTGGAGCCAGAGTCTGACATAGAATAAGAGAATGAAGATGAAAAAATTGTAGTTGGTAACTACAGACCTTATTTAGAAGTTCTGTTGCAAATAATTTGACGTAACACTTCAGAAAACATCATATACAGTATGTTTGTTTTATTTTTTTGTATTATAAATGTATTGTGTATTATCTTTTCTTAGCATGTTTCAACTGAAGAAAGAAATTCACTATGAGAAAAAATAATGGATAGTTGTCTGCCAGCTTGTCAGGTTGGTTTGTTGATAGAAAGGAGGTGATCCCTTGTGGGTTCACTTCAGCTGACTTCCAGTCAAATCAATGTAAAATAAAATAAAATAAAATAAAGAAACTGAATTAAGCAACTCATAAAATGTTGTAATATAACATAAACTAAAAATGTTTCTAACCAATTACTACTGTTTTATATTTTATAAAAATAAGCTACTGAGATAAAATTTTACAACACAGCAAAACAGCATACAGTATTTAGTCATATGGTTGTTTTTTATTATTTATTTAAAAGAGGTGGAAATTTTGCCATTGAGAGTAGAATGTTGATGCAGAAACAATGTGTGATGCAAAGAGAAGAGGAAATGTCAGTGTTGGTGTATGTGTGTGTGTACATTTGTGTGTGCTTGTAATCAAGTTACTTGTTTCAGGTAAGAGCTGTTGAGGTGCTCTTCAGGTGCTCACAGGATAAGGAGGGAAATGTGTGAAGTGTAGATAGATCATTTGCTTTCGTCGTCTCTCTTCTTCTCACTTCCTAGCAACTCTGCCTTTTTTTTTTACTCTTCTTCCCCCACCTTGTCATGCTCAAAGGCCAATCCACCTAAGAGCTAAAGTCTACAGCGGAGCATTCATCAAGTGTTTTCAGGAAAACAAAGGTACTGAAATTGAGTGTGATTAAGGGGCGATATTTTTATTAATTAAAAACAACATAACACAAGGTTTCCCCTGTTAGTCGTTTAGCAGCGATACTGTTTCTTCTCGTAATTTTAATTTCAAGTAGTCGTGCACCCTGACTATCCTGGAAAAAAAAAGGAAAAACTTGATTATAAATCACACTCTCACACTGAGGATTCATTAGAGTTCTAGGTCATTGTCTGGAGAGTAAAGCTCTTTAATCACAATCTTTCAGCCTCTCTATAATTATG